CCATATAGCGCGGTTACGGTAGGGATACGGTAGGTAAGCGAAGATCACAAATTTCGCTGAAACTTATTGTGGTGGGGTTATTTGCCATGCTGATTATGAATATGCTAATCATTTTGCATGGAAATGCAATTCATGGTTTTCAACAGCCAGCCATTAGTGCCGTATTCCACCTTCTAAGCAGTTGCGTGTGCTGTGAAACTAAAGCCACAAGTCAAGTCTCATCCATACCAAAAACACATGCACCCTAAGTGGTCTTATAGAACGACACTTGATGCCACAAATGTATCTGTCTACTTGAACTTTAATATCATTTTCGCATGACCTTTTCAACCATACAACTACCAGCATTGAAAAACTAATATATAGTCCCAACCACTTTCTCTAGAAATGTAAATGTAAAATAGATTTTCGCAAGAGCTTTTTTCACCGAAACCAAACCATTAACTATGCTTTTTGCCAGTTTGGGATATAGTTGTAACGAACGCAAGTTTTCATCGAATGAACAAATATCGAATAATATCTTTGAAAATTCATCAAACGAATGAATAGCGAATAACTAAATTTGAAAATTTCCAGGTGAACGAATATAACTCGATTTCCGATTTTTATATTATTCGAATTTGAATATTCGAATATGGGCACATTCCAAAATTCGAATTTTCGATTATTTGATTAACCGAACTTGATCGACTATTCGAATAAACGAACAGCTGAATATCATCGAATATCGAATGCAATAATTATTCGAACACTCGCATGCAATATTCGAATATTCAGTCGCAATAGTCTGAATATTCGAACAAGGATTTCCGAAACTTCTTAGATATTTGTAAGGTTGAATAACAGTCTTTTCAAATTCCTCGCATATGAATATTCGAATTTATTTTTCCGATTTGTCGAATGAACGAAATATTCGAATAAAGAACACTCATCAGCTAGCCAGTGGCGGTCCGAGGATTTCTGTCCGGGGGGGGGCGGCAGAAAAATTTTTTGAATGAGGGTGCGTGCGCGTCCCCAAAATGAAAAAAGGGGGCGTGGCGCGAGCCACTCCTCCGAAAAAAAAATTTTTACGGGGCTAATTTGAATTTTTGAAAAATTTGAAAAATTATTTTAATTATCTACATAAATAAATGTCACTTGCACATTTTTACAACCCACGTAAGTAAATTTCAGAAATTTCGCGACCCACTCTCGGGGGGCGGGGGGGGGGGGAGGGCGCCCCCTCGGTCCGCCACTGCAGTCAGCCGATAGTATTATCAAAATGATAGAGGCATGTAGATGATTTTATAATGTGTTTTTATCACGCATGGTTTTTACATTTTACATATGTTGGAGCTCCAGAGCTTTTAACTGAATTTTGATACTTAAATTATGTTTTGTCAATAAAACAGTCATCTTTGCTAGTTATCCTATCTAGGAAAGCAGCTGGGATAATCAATTCTTCTAAGGTTGGTGTTTTCTGAATAGAAGATGATGTCGTAAGTGGGGGTTGAGAATGGGGGGGGGGGGGGAGTACGTATAGGTATTGCAGTGAATCACTCTGCTTAGAGCGAAAAGGCACCATGCCTCTTGACGTGCCTGAACACGTAGGATGTAAGCAACGAGTACTAATGGCGGCAGAATGGCTGTGGTGCTAGGGTACTCTGTAGTCTAGTGGTTTAGTGGTAGGCTCTTAGCACCGAGAAACGGGAGTTGGACTCCCGACTTAGACGGAGCGTTTTGCGATGAAGCGTGTGGTGGCTCCTCAACAACTATAGCGGCTCCGCAGGTAGCAGCGCGAAACTCCGAGTTTCGTTTCTGAAACTCGGAGTTAACTCTGACAAGGGAACGATACTCAATGTCCGTGGCCTTTTGAGACGAGATGTATACCATTACACTCGCCTTCGAACGTTGATTCCGAATCTGACTTCCGTTTCTGCTAATCGTTTCTCTGAAGGAAGTTATGGAGGATTTTCGAACCAACTTTATCCGCCCAACGGTATGGTCACCAGAACGGCCTCTACCGGCGCCATGTTATTGTCTAATGGTTAGTGTGATAGCCTCATAACTTGATACAGGTGTAGGTTCAAATCCTTTGTGTTTTTATTTTGCACTACCTCGATTAAAGTTGTTTGAGATTCACTCGAATTATGGTCATTGGATACATTTTAACGCAAATAGTCAATTTTTTCCGAATTTCCACATTTTTTGAAGAGTAAGGGCGTTCAGTTAGCTCCGAAGATGCGAAAGAAGGTTTATTGAGGCAACGCAAAACTGAAAAACACAAAAGGATTCGAACCTACGCCTGCATCAACTCATGGGCCTATCGCGCTAACCACTAGACCACACCGCACCATCACTGCTGCTGCTTTGAACATATTTCAGTGGACAGCCAAAGCCCGCACAATCCTTTACAACATCTTTGAAGCGATTAGCAGAAACGGAAGCCAGATTCGGAATCAGCGTTCCAAGACGAGTGTAATGGTATACAACTCATCTCAAAAAGCCGCGGACACCGAGTATCGTTTCCTTGTGAGTTTCAAAACGAAACTCGGAGTTAACTCTTAGTTAACGCGCAGCTTTAAACTCGGAGTTTCGACCAGATTACTACCGGCCCTGGTATCCTAGCACTCTGGTATCCTTCCTTATAAGGTTTGAAATAACAACCCAGGAAGCGAATTTGGCATGACTGGGATGCCATGTTGCCTACAGTTGTTCGTAATAGTGCATCTCTGCAATTACTTTTTGCGAGTCGATGTTAATGCGAAATTCGACTCCTCACACAGATAGGGGCGATTCCCGCAGTTATTGATACAAGAGCTTCTAAGGCTTGCTAATGACTACATCTTGTGAATAAAAAATCGCTTAACGTCTACCCAATGCGTCTTATAATTGGAATTGGCAAGTAGGATAAGTCTTTTACGCACTCACAGTCTCCTTGCGAATTGCGAAAAAATGCGTCGAACAACATTAAGCACATCTGAACAAATACCCAAAAGAATTATATGCTGACTACCATCCGTAATTCTTTTTATCTTTACAGCTGTGTTGCCGTCAAATATCTGAAGACGTACCTCATGGAGCAAATTAGAATCGTGAATTTAAGTGAAATGTTATCCATGTTTCGAAATCCCTACTTCAAAAGGAGTTATAGCATCCGGTCTGAAAAGTACTTCGAGAAGGACGCAGTATCGCAAATTCTGCATTTCAACTGCGGACAGGGCCAAGCGCTGCATTTTCCTTTCTTAAAAGCAATTGTTTTCATGCGCGGTCGAACGAAGCGAAAAGGTTTTCTGAAATACTGACCATGGCAATTATCAAAAAACCAGAATCTTGACTGCTTCAATCACTCCGTATCATCTTGAATCAATCTCAACGTCAGAGAAAAATTGGAATCAAGCTATTGTGAATGCCAATCTTTCTATCCCTTTTCAATCCCTGCTATCCTAATCTCTCTTTTATAGCATGTTTATTTCACCAAAAAGAATCCTACCATTTGTTCATGATTAATGTTTCGGATGTGGTTTTAATTCTAAAACGTTCCAAGAGAGTTCCTTCGTCGTGCTTGTTGCGTTAGTTGACTAAAGCTGACAGTAAGGTATACGCTGACCTAGTCTTGATCCACTTCACTGTTTGCCAAATCCGATTTGACCATCCAAAGTGAGGAAGTGAAACAAGTGCATTAAGTAGATTCTGTTCATTTCGCTCCAAAAACCCTCATGGTTCGCCGCCCATGGTGTCGCTTGATTGACAATGAAAGCAAATTTGGAATTAATGATAAAATTTTCTTCAAAGTGATACAGAACTCATTTGGAAAAGCCATTTTGACTAAAAAGGGTTTTCTTGCTGATCTTTTCTTGTTAGAGATACAATGCGTTCATCTAGTCAAATTGCAGTTATCTGCGTGTACCTTGATTTATATAGAACTATGCTACTGATAGTTTTCGTCTGTATGCCAAGTGAAAGATGCATGCACGCAAGTGGTAAGTAACCTTTTGCTAGTCCCACAAATAAGCAGATCGTCTCGGTGTCGCTCGTCTGGCATATATATCTCTCCGGAAGTAGAAAGGGATCCTGGAAGGTTTGCATTTACGAGTCTATACCAAACTTGCATGCTCAAGAACATATGCGAAATGTAAGTTCACTTTGGAACAAGCACTATTCGCTTGGTTCATATCAAATATGTATCGCAGTTGCGTTGATCACCACGCACTTTTTAATTTTCCATGTTCGAATAAATATCTTTTTTCATCAGTAAAGCAAAATATGGAACTTCTTTTTTTATACACCTCTCTTCCTCCTTATTTTAACACTTCAAAGCTTTGCGACTTCTAGGATATTACTTTGACAATCATAATTCTTGCACCAAAATTGAAATTCTGTTAGTTCACCCAGCTCCGATAAAATAGTCTGATTTGATACAAAATAGAGAGAGCAAATTTTGCGCTTTCTGATGGCGCTTAATCCAAAATTCCTTGAGGACATACCGCAACGATATAATGTGAATAAAAGAAAAATCCAAAAAGCGGTTTTTCGATTTTTGCTCATTAAAATTGCTAAAACGTCTACTAAAAATTAAATTTACTTTTGCTTCAGTTTTACGACATGCTCTTTTCAACTAAGGGAAGCTGGTAGCGATTGGATATCTCTGCGAATAGTTACGAATTTCGCTTTTTTAAAATTGACTTATTGATTTTGTTATATACTGATTTTCTAAAATATACTATAAAATACTACTTTTGATAAACATGACAAAGAGCGTATTCCGTAAGTTGATTAGCTTGTTTAAGCATTTTTAAAATAATTTTTTTCTATTTTTTGGTGAAAGAATTGTGCATCAACCTAATAATAGGCGCCCTTGCGTTTTAGCGTAGGATCGACGACTGGAGATAGCCTTTGAAAAGAGAGGTTGGTAAAGGTAGAGTAGGCCGAAAAGAAAGTCGTCATCGTTTAAGAAGGTCATGGCATCAGTAATAAGAAAACAGCTCCGATTAAACTGTACAAATTCGTACCTTACCGATTTATAGAAGAGTACGTACCTCATCGCCGGTTTCGTCATGATTTTTTTCCTCAGCGGCGCTTGTCTCATTAGATTTTTGCAAACTCTTGATTTCATCATAATTATGAGCTAGACGATCTGCAGCAGTCATTGCGTTTTGTCTTAAGTATCAAGTAACTTAGAACTAATGTGTGTGTGCTTCAGCACTTACCCCAAAACCGTAGAGACAAGTGTGCCTCCCACGGAGTTGTCGAATTCCTTGTTAATTAGTAAATTGCAGTCTTTCTCCGGTTTCTGCAGACACTCGTCCCGTGCTTTTGACCACATACAACTCACTAATGTTTATGTTAAAGAAAACCTTGATTTCACGACGCTGGGCCAAATTGAAGAAATAAAATTCAAGCGCATCCTCAACTTGTTTCAACTCCTTCTTAACCTCCTTCTCGCATTCCGCAGATGAAAAGGACAGCGTTAGCACGCTCTAATACTGGCCAATATTTCACAGAAATAAAATGTCGTTTTTGCTACTTAGCTTACCGCAAAGATAACTGACCACACAAGCATGCTAAAATAAAGAGCCCTTCACCTCTTTCTTTTTATATGTGTTCACACAAATGAGTGCACTTTACTTATGAAAAGGATACACACTGCTCTGGTCGAAAAAAATACTGAAAGTCAATCGAACACGACGAACTACTTTTGATATTGTCCGGTATTAGTGGATATCATGCTAATTCAATATTCACAATGATCAGTTTTCTTCATGTAATTTTCTGCCAGTGCGATGGAGTGCGTCCCAGCTATAGTTCTCAATCTAATTTTGTAAAAGATATTAATTCTTTAAAACCTCTAAATGCACTTTCCAGCACATTGAACATTATTTTATGTTGATTTTTCCTCCCATTAAATAATGCCTAGCACTCTACAGGTTTTTCTTTCAGAAAAGAAGCAAAACTGAGGGAGATGGGGCTATATATCGCTGATTACGAATATTGCGAAGATTATGAGCTATTGACTAAGGGTATGTTCAAGATGTCAGTTCCGGAATGATTAAATTCGGAATCCAAAGACATCATTTTCAACTCAAAGCGGACGTTTTTGATCTTTTAATTCAAAATAAGTACAGTAGACAGTGGTACAGTGCTGGCCACAGCCATAAAGCCACTCAAAAATTACGGTATCCCCCTGCCTTGGATAAAATGGTTTGGAAAAACTTTATACTCTGAATAAACTAAAACTAACGTTATATCACTGCATAGAACGCTCTCAATTGCATTGATTTTGTCCAGAAAAAAAACTGAAAATTTGAAAAACCTTGTTCCATAGGCTGGCACAGCTATAAGGCCACCTGCAACTTTTGAGCAATACTACATTCTTTAAACCCAGAATCTTTTGCACTTTTACAGCATCAAAATTTTTACGCTTGGCAGCCGTCGCCTTAAAAGAAAATCTTTGTTGTATTTTCCGCTTCAAGTTGCATTAAAAGGAGTCACATTAAACAGGTTGGCTCAGCGAATTTTCAAGACCTTACATAACTCTGATGAAGGTATTAGGCCCCGGACAGACTTCAGCGACTCAATCGTCGCGATCTAATCGCCAAGATTTCCATTCATTTTCATTTCACATTCAAAAATTTCGGGCTGGAAAAGTATTACAACCAAATGCAAGTTGATCGGCATGGGATGATGTTGTAACAGTTGTCTCGTGGCGATTCAGTCGCGACGATCAAATCGCGTGAAGTCTGCCCGGGGCCTTAGGATTCACCGAACCTTTGCAATGAATGCGGTGAAAAATGCTTGAGTCAAATCTTCTTCGCTGAAATTAATGAGCCTCACTTTCAGATAGATGAGCTTTCGAACCACAGAAGTTGACTTTTGATGCCCGAAAAGCTCTGCATGTTTTTAGTTTGTTCTCTGTGCAACTCCTACGCATTGCTGGAACATCATCGCAACCTTCAGAATTCCTGTTTAGACTAGACTGTCGCTGTTCCTTCAGAAATGAGTAAGACACTCTGGGATCATAACCCACTCTATCTACTCGATCGGAGGTAATCCGTTCAAAACCTTAAGATACTAGTATTTAGAACAGTTCCATTAACATTTGACTCGATGAAAATTCCAAAGAAGTAAAACTTAGAGTCATATTAGATTTACTGCGCATAGATAAACTGCAAATGAAGGGTCTTAACTTCAATGTTGCAGTTGCGTCTTTGTGAAGATTCTGGCAACTTTTGCATGAATACATCGTCATGCAAACAAAGTGCCAACTTTCGAACAAAAGTTTTCGCGAGCCAGAAATCGAGATTTCAGTTCAAAGGCGTGCCTACAAGCATAGAAGAATGAAGCTCGTTCATCAATATCAACGTGTACTCAAAGCTGACTCAAGCGTCCTTCACCACAATCGTCACAAGGCTCAGCGTATTCTGATACTTTCAGTCAAGCTGTATGAGCGCATTCAAACCAACGAACCGCAGATTTGTAAAACATTGTAACTTTTTTATGCATTTTGAAGCAACAAATGCAGAGTAAATTCTCTTTTCCAAAGGCGACAGGTCCCACGTGTAACAGACGTTTCATTATGTGATGCTGTAATTGTACAAAAGCTTCTAGGTATCGTCGTCTCCCCGGTGTACGTTGGGTGGAGCATTTGCAGACATCTGATCACGTTGGTGAACTTGTTAACCCTTTAATGCAAGGCATTGTTTTTTGTGATCTCTCGCTACCAACCCTGCCACGTGTGACAACAGCATATAAACGTGGCAGGTTAGAGAGTACAAAGAACCATGCTTTGAAGTAGAGACTTGACAAGTTCACCAATGTGTTGAAATGTCCGCAAAAGCTCCGCCCAACGTACGCCGGGGAGACGACGATACCAAGAAGTAATATTGCTTAGAAATAAGGGTGGCCTTACAGCTGTGGCCAGCCTTCGGAACATGTTTTTCATAATTTTCAGCTTTTCTCCGGACAGAACCAGTGAAATTGGGAGCCGCCTAGGCAATGATGCAGCGTTTGTTTACATACAGAATAGTGGTTTTTCGGACATTTTCATTCAAAACAAAGCAAATTACCGTGATTTTTAGGGTGCCTTTATAGTATGACCAGCACTGTATTAGTAACTTTCACAATACTTTTCCGATTTCTACTTACGGTAATTCACTCAGTGCGCTAGTTTTTACCCTGAGTTGCTACCTAGTCTGTAAAAAATTCGTTGAATATAGCTAGCTACTATGAAGTAAAAGGTTCTTGAAGGCTCACAAAGAAAAGTGCGCTAATGTCATCTAATTGGGAGACGTTCGAAAGGCGCATACTGGTCGGTTGTAACCATACCTTCGATAGTCTGGAGAGTGGGACCTCAAAAGTGAAGGTTGTTTGCATGTCTGGCCCCTAAAAAGTAAGACTATTTTTAAAACATCAGAGAAAAGAAAAATATGCAATACAAATTGCAAAAGCAAAAGAAACTTTCAGAAGCTGGGTAAACGCTGCAAGTTCGAAATCTTTTGTTTGGCGTCATTTCAAATCGAGATTCTCACTTCAAGACCAGGCAATTCATAAAAAGGGGAAGACTGTTTCAAAAACAACCATGCGTCGATAGTGGTGATCATCAAGAGGAAGATAAATAAGAAGAGAATTAGTTATGAAGATGCAAAATTATGTTTTTACCGAGTTGAAATGTACGTCACCAATCTTGTTTGTGATGCGTTGTTCAAATTTACCCCCGCATTGTCGTTCTTATTTTCTGATCAGTTGCGCTTATAATTTCTGAGCTGCGAAAACACTGAAAAAGGGTAAGATAAAGTAAAACGGACTTTTTACGATTTTTTGCAAGAAAACGGCCATAGTAAAAAGTAAGCTCCGGAACGTTATCTACATTATACAGTGCTGGTCATAGCTATAAAGCCACCCTAAAAATCACTGTAATTTGCTCTCTCTTGCTCGAAATTGTCCAAAAAACCACTATTCTGTGTGCAAACTAACGTCATATCATTGACCAGAACGGCTCCCGATTTCATTGATTTGGCCGAAGAAAAATTGAAAAATTTGAAAAAAGGGGTTCCCAAGGCTGGTCACAGCTATAAAGCCATCTCTCATTTCCAAACAGTACTACGTTTTTTGAGGCTGAAATTTTTCGTACATATACAGTATCAAATATAAAACATTTACCACACTTGGAAGCAGTCGGCTCTTCAAAAAGAAGATTCATCCTGCATTTTCTGCTTCAAAATGTATAAAAAGTTATAATATTTGGAAAAACTGCCTTTTCACCGGATTCTCAAGCATTTGCTTGACTCGAATGAAGGTCCTAGACTTCGCCGAGCCTTTGCAATGAGTATGGTGATAAGCGCAGGAGTCAACATGGCGTAGTCGCTGGTATTGATGAACAAAGCTCCATCTTACTTAGGTGTAAACGCACTTCTGAAACGCAAACCTCGATTTCTGACGCGCGAAAATTTTCGGTTGGAAGTTAACACCTTGTTTACCTGGTGACGTACTCATGCAGAAGCTGTCAGGCTTTTTACAAAGACGTATTTGCAGCACTGAACTCAAAACGCCTTGTTTGCAGTTCGTTTGTGCGCAGTGTATCTCACATGAGTTCAGATTTTACTGCTTTGAACTCCTCTTCAAGTCAAATCTTACAAAACTGTCAGGAATATTAGAATTTTGAAATTTTGAGCAGTTTTCCGCAATCGAGAGGTCAGAGTGTGTCACGATCAGGCAGGGTGCACCACTCATTTTTGGAAAAAAGGCGTTTAAGGCAAAACCAAAATCCTGAAAGTTGCGATGACATCCAAGCTATGCGCACGATTCTATCGTTGTACAGGCGATGGCTGAGCACTTGACAGAGCTTGTCGGGCATTAGAACTCAATTTCTACGGTTCGAAAACTCGTCTTCCTGGAGGTGAGGTTGGGGCTCGTTTATCAATATCAGCGACTACGCCATGTTGACTCCTGCGCTTATCACCATACTCATTGCAAAGGCTCGGCGAAGTCTAGGACCTTCATTCGAGTCAAACAAATGCTTGAGAATTCGGTGAAAAGGCAGTTTTTCCAAATATTATAACTTTTTATGCATTTTGAAGCAGAAAATGCAGGATGAATCTTCTTTTGAAAAGCCGACTGCTTCCAAGTATGGTAAATGTTTTATATTTTGATACTGTGTATGTACGAAAAATTTCAGCCTCAAAACACGTAGTACTGATTGGAAATGAGAGGTGGCTTTATAGCTGTGACCAGCCTTGGGAACCCCTTTTTTCAAATTTTTCAATTTTTCTTCGGCCAAATCAATGAAATCGGGAGCCGTTCTGGTCAATGATATGACGTTAGTTTGCA